GGGGGGGGGGCTGTGGTTCTATTCTAAGCTAATGCAAGATTAATTATTGACTCAATCGAAACCTTGTTAAAAAATTTTTGTCTTCCTTTTCTTTTTGATTCATTTAGTGTGTGCTGACCTCATCAAGGGCGCAAAAGAGAAGAGCCTGAAAGTGAAAGGACCAGTGCGCATGCCCACCAAGATACTTCGCATCACCACCAGAAAGACTCCCTGTGGTGAAGGTTCCAAGACCTGGGACAGATATCAGATGAGGATTCACAAGAGAATCATCGATCTTCACAGTCCATCTGAGATCGTGAAGCAGATCGTATCCTTTTCCACGTTACAGGTCTTCTATGTCTATCTGCATAAATATAATAATCCTGCACATACAGTCTAGCATGCATATTGCGAAATTGGCTTGAGAAAGAAACCTTTTGTTGCCCAGGGTTTTAAATACCAAGCATGGGCTACCATGTTTAACACTTTGCCACCTCATTTTTGGGAAAATCCATAGTAACGAGTGGTAACCATCGGCGAGATGAGTCGGCAAAGTGTTACACAGTTTTGGTATCCTGAAGTCTGTTCGCTATGTGTGCGTGCCAGACTATTTTCTCATCAATGACCTTATTGCGTTTCAAGTGCCGTAGAACTCTTACTCAAACTAACCCCTCCGTTGCCTCATGACATGCCTGGTGCGACATGAAATTGCACAATTTTTAACTTTGTGCTGTACCATGGACATCATGGAAGTTAGCAGAAGTTGCCGCTCCTGATTGTTTTTATGACATGATTACATCAAGTTAATAAGCTGGCTCTAATTCTTCTGTGCAGTTTTAGCCACAAGCTATGTGTGAATTCATATTCTGGAATTTTAATGTGTATCTTATCATTGCAAAATTTGCAGGTATTATCTTACACTGCTAGGTTTGTGAGAAAAGTGACACAATTGAAGACCCTGGGTCCGAAATATGTCACAAGTGACAATTTTCTTTTGGTCGGGAGAAGTTGTTGCATTTTTTATGGGGAAATATTTTCCTATTGAGGAATGCTGCAAGTCGACCTGTCTCATAAATTGGTTGTTAGAGCACTGACCCCTGGAAGCACAATGCGCACCTATGAGTTTGTAAACTGAAAAAATAGTGTTTGCTCTCTACTCTTTGGGGGTGTTCAGCAAGTTTACTTTGTGGAAGAACAAAAAATGTTATAAAGGAGAGGCAATGCTGGTATGGTAGGTCTAATCTGCAGTAGATTGTTTTTCTTGTGGTCACCCAGTTATCCTTTCTACCCACAGCTCTTTTTTTTTTTTTCAAATGCATGTGGGTGGTTGGCTGGTGCTCTGGTGTGATTTGCTTCTTCTTTCCTATCAAACATCTATCGTCCTTATCTCCCATCCTTCTTTTTTATGTTTGTTACTCTCTTGTAACACCTCTAAACTTCTGGCGCTCATATGACCTTATGCAGTTGCGAGCGCCGTAAAACCTCTGCTAAAACTAAAAATTCACAAAACTAGCTTATATTAGCTGACCAATTTCATGAATTCATAATTAATGAAGATTCAGGATTGCCTTGTTAGTCATTCCATGATTATAAGGTGCATGTGTACAGCGTGTTGTTTACCTTAACCACTTTATCAGACTTCCATCAGTATTGAACCAGGTGTGGAAGTTGAGGTCACCATCGCTGATGCTGCGTAAAAAATTGGACATGGAGTACCAATAAAATGTTGGCAATAAAGTTGTCTTAAAAAGTTGAAGAATTTTTAAATATTTTTTGTGTGTGTGTGCGTTGTTTGTTTTATGTGGTTAAATTTTAATTTTACAAGACATGGACCCCAGAATTAGGACTAACTGTTGCTTTTTCTTTCCTCATCCTTACTAATACGGTTGTCATTTTTCCTTTACTTCTTTTGTATGTTTGCCACTCTCTTGTGAACTGCTATTTCTGGGGTGCTTTGATAGTCGAAGCAGACTTACTCTAGCATCTGCGTTTGTTGCCACAAAAAAGGCAAAAGTTGCCATTAATTTTCAAGCTTCCAACTCTCCGTGACTATGTATAGCAATATATTGATAGAGGTAACTTAATCTAAAGCACAAGAAAATTTAACATATATTATTATTTTCTGTTTTAAGCATCCAGAATATCATTTGCAGCCTCTTAGAGTGTAAAAATGTGAAAAATGAAGGTTTCACAACAGAATGAAATCAAAATTAGAACAGCACATACAGCCACAAAAGTTAACAAATAATGGCGTGTGTCTACCTATCCAAAGATTGTCTGTTTTAACCCTAAACGTGTGTAATTCAAGAAAATGTACATGATAATGTAAATTTGGGAATCACACACAATGAGGGGCCTGCCAGTGTCAGTAATCGGTTTTTGTGGTGACGCGCTCTAAGGTAACACTTTTTAAAAAAAATGTAGGAACAAAATCAAATTAATTGACCTTACGCTATATAAACACAAAAAATAGAGAAACAACACCGTAACAATATAAACAAAATTAACACACCAACAAATTAAAACAAAAAAGAGGAAAAATAAATGACAAACAGTAATATATAGTAATACATGTAATGTACCTACATTCTTGGCATGGAAATTACTATATGTGGACACCTTAAAAGTTAAAGGATGTTATAATGGAACTTTAAGATTATGTTCTGGAGTAGCCTTTTTTGTTGAAAATGCAAAATTCGCGGACCCAAAAATGCCAAAAATCACGGCCACGACAAGCGCAGATGCTAGCTTACTGCTGTTGAGGCTAGAGAGGTGAGCAGAGTAACTTGTAAGCCTGATTCTCTGTTGATATCCACCCCTTGGCGCTAAAATGACCGTATGCAGTTGCAAGCGCCGTTAAACCTTGCTTAAACAAAACAACCCCAGAATTATGTAGTTCCGTGAATCAGTCTTGTTTTATTTGGGGGAGTGAATGCTTCTTGACCATGTCGGGATTTAATTAAAGATCCAAGTGATTGGTCTGGCAAAGAAAAGCTTGCGTCCTTTTTATAATCTTCCTTACCGTAGTGCGAGCCGTTGAGGATCTAAAGAAAAAGATTACTACGGGTCAAAAGCATTCGCTGTCTTATTCCTCCACAGACATACCATCGTGTCACTGTATTGTGCCGCAAAAACGAGCTGGATTACCCCAAACCTATAAATCTACATTCTAAAATTCTATGATCTCTGACTTTCTTCTGAGCGTCTTGCCCCAAACCAATTCTGTTTTTATGCACCCATTGACACAGTTCAGATCGTTTAGGAGGCGGGCTCTCAACCCTGCCTGTCATGGCCAACCTGGGCTGAGAAGGATACAAGATCATAAAAAATTCTCCACACTTGGGAATCGAACTCGGGTCTTCTGCGTGCAGCAACCAGCGAAGCATCTAACAGCACTTAACGTACACCAGTCCCAAAATTGAGATTGTCAACTTTTTCAGTCGGCAAAAACTGTAGTGTTAGTGCATTTCACTCACATCCTCCTTGTTTTAACTTAAAACGGAGATGACTAGTGAGAGGTATTTCACTCGTCAGCTGGCCCCTCTTCGCATCATGTTATTTACGCGAGATCGGTGACGCAGCGCCTCAAAACTATGTCACGCCATACATTTCATAGTCTGTTCCTCTCAAAGTAACTTCCCCTTGTTATTTCCTTAGTCTTAGGGACAGAAGGAGCGAGGAGTCATCTCAGTCAATACGTCGGAAGTAGTAGTAGGCTACTAGTAGTAGTGTATGGTGAAGTTGGTCAATAAATGTGCGCATAATTTATAATTAATCAATTCATCAAATTTATGCTCCAGTGAAGGAAGAGGAAGCAGGGCTGCTTTTTTATATTTTTAGTAAGAGTTTTCGGCACTTGCTGATGCTGCGTTGCAACAATAAGGTAGGTAGCGTAAACACGGCCTCGCGGGCACTCGCGGCCTTCCGACCGCGTGGTATCGGTAAAATCGGGTTAATTCCGATCGCTGTTTCTTTGCTCTTTCGCTATAAAACACCAAATGCCTTATACCTTGTAAAAGTTCAGCTTTTCCTCGTTACAATGGTGCAAGTTGTTTATATGTCCGATTATTAGTTTAGGAGCTGGATAATCGCCGACGAAAGCGAAGCCCCTCGCGGTAGGAATGCGAGGTCGGCCGGTTGAAAAATTGACACGCGTGCATTCAAATGCTTCGCGGAACGAGGGATGATTAAATACCGTCTTTTCATTGGCGGAGAACTGTAGAGCTTTAAAAAGTTAAACGGGCTTTCCCGTGATATAAGTTTAGCCTTTGGCGTCTTTATAGAAAGCTTTTAAAAATACATGTACCGTCAAAATGTTTAAAGATCACCTTTTACATAAAAGATGTAAATTTTAATTTAAAAAAGATCAGTTCATTTTCTATTAGAATAAAGTAATTAATTTGAAATTATGTCACATCAATCCTTCCGCGGGGTACACGTACAGTATAGTTAAGTAATACAGTATAGAGCCGACTCGCTCGCCGCGGGGGCCGGTGCGGCGCCGGCCGTGTCAACGCTCGGTGTTTTTGTCGAAATAACGACAGATCATCGTGTTTGAAGTGATAAAATACTAATTTGTAAAGATCTCAGTCTCGAAAAAAATTAGGCTCCATATTTGTTATCGTATACGGTATAGTGATTGTACTTGTACTCTGTTAAACAGCTGCCGGTATCCGCCCGATGCCACACCAATTCCTTCTCACCTGAAATCCAACGAACACGTGCGATGCTTCCATCCCGTAAAACTGGCCTTCCTCCATGTCAAGACACTGCTCTGGCTCGACTGATTCATCTGTAAGAAGTGACGCACAGATGCCAACCACAGAAAACCGAAATGAATATTTGGAAATATGAAAATGTGTATTTTCAGGGGAAAATGTGTATTTCCCACGACCGACCGACCGACCGACTAGTTTTAGTTAGTAAAATGTTAAGGGTGTCCCCAGTAATATTTCCTGAAAAAAAAATTTACTAGTTCACCAGCTCGAAAAAAGGGAGCACACACGTGTACAATATACATGTACATGTATTTTATGTATCCAGTCAACAACATGTCAGTGTTTAGTGTCGTACTGGGGTCTTGTTTGACTTAAATATTTCAGTCTATTATACCGGTAATATTTTCCTCTCATTATTATTGTTAAGTAAAAAATAAATCCTGCTTTGAGAGTTCGAAAGGGCCTGGAACAAAAATGTCGACTATCAAGAACCAGTCTGGGTGCCATGATTCATATCGCTGGTGGAATGATGAAACCTCGTAACCCTCAATTTTTTCGAAATTCGTTTTTTGGGCGTAATGTCTTCTCCCAGTTCTTCTTCACATTGTGTCAAAAGTACTAGGTTAAATTAGTGAGAGAAAGTATGAAAAAAACGTAATAAAAAAAGGGAGTGCTTATTTAGGCCACATATGGCCTAAATAAGGTAAGGGAGGGGGGTTTAGCTTATTTAGGTCCACCTTAAACCTGCTTATTTATCACTACGTTGACCCCGGGGTCCACCAATCCTTACTTAAACCAAACCTTATTTCACTACGGTGACTCCAGGGTTTACATCCTAAAACCTAGTATTTCGCTTTGCAGACCCCAGAGTCCACCTATCCTCTTCAGGACTAAACTATTATCAATTTGCAATTTGAGAATATCCCGAAAACAACATAAAATGATGATATAGATCTCTCTCTCTCTCTCTCTCTATATATATATATATAAGGTCACCCATATATATATATATATATAGAGAGAGAGAGAGAGATCTATATCATCATTTTATGTTGTTTTCGGACTACGGGGTCTACCTAGCCAAAAGGATAGGTGGACCCCGGGGTCTACCTAACCAAATGCTAGAATTTAGGATGTGAACCCCGGAGTGAGCGTAGTGAAATAAGTAGTAGATCTAGGTTTAACTAAGGATCGGTAGACCCCGGGGTCAACATAGTGAAATAAGTAGATCTCAGTTTATTTTATAGTAGGACTGGCGGAGCCCGTGGTCAACGTAGTGAAATTATAATTGGGAATGGCCTAAAGACACTTCAGTCAGTGGCACTGCCCCGGAGGAGTCTCAGACTATGAATCCGCTGTGTAGTCGAATCCTCCAGTTATGGCTGAGACCGAATTGTACTGAACTTAACCATGGTCTTGATGACTCTGAAGTCTTTAGATGACATTGTGACAAATGTGTGCCTCAACAACACAAGTAATACGGACATTTCCGAATCTGTATTGAATATCTCCTTGTAACTGTGCTCATCACCTAGATCTTTATACCATACAAGGGCTGGTTGGAGCAGACCACGTTCCATGAATTGACCCCACCCACCTAGTCGCAGTCCTTTCCAGGGCTGTCCCTGATATATATGGAGAAAAGGAAGTATCAGCTTCATCCCAGACTGAGTCTGCACCAACATCGGTGTCGCCTGAAATCATACCCCAAACCATACTGACGTTTCACTAGGCACTAGGCAGCTGTAAGTCAGATGCTGAATTATTACCTTCGAGGTCACAGCAACACGATCTGTAGACCATATTCAGGCACCTGAGCCACTATTCCTGGAGCCTGATCCCGAGACACAGCTCATTTGTGATGTCAGCATAAATGATGCTCCACACAGGAAAAGAAAGGGTTTTCAGGAGTTGCAACAAATAAGCGAAAAGCTATTCGTGGATCAGGACAGGATCGGAATACATAAAGGTTCAATGAAAAGCCCAACAAAGTTATTGAAACCAAACTGTGATTGCAAGAGCTGGACTCTGAAAT